TATGGGCAGCTTGGTTCTTAAGAATGGCTCTGGGAATGCCTGCTATAGCGACCTGCCTTCCAGCTTTCCTACAGTTCATTCATAAGTGCTTGCTCAGAGTCTACTATGTCCCCAGCTCTGGGTTTAGTGAGGAACAGGACAGATCACGTGGAGTATAGCTCCTTGAAGTTGAGTTTTCTGATGGGTTATTTGCCCATTACACTGAATGAGAGTCAGATCCAAGGTAGCAGTGAATGCTGGATTCCATCATTACTAGTTCTTCCCTGGCTTTCCATTACTCTTTGAATAAAGATCAAAGTCTTGAACTGGGCCCTACATAGTCTGATCTTCTCACTCTTTGTCTCTCTGTACTTTTAGTCTCCATGTGATCCATACTTCTTTCTGCCACAGGGCCTTGGCACATGCTATTTCTTTGCCTCATTGTTGTTTCTGGTGAACAGACATTAATGTAATGACCAGGACACTCACTTTCTCATGTTCTCATCCTTGAGTACAGATAGGACGTGACTTACTTCTCAGTATTAGAATATGCAAAGGTGATAGGATGTCACTGGTGTGACTATATTACTGAGACTATTTTGCTAGCAGATCCACTCCAGAGTCCCTTTCCCTTTGCTGCTAGCTTTGAAAAAGCAGCTGTCATGAACTCTGAGGAAAAGAACTCTGCCAACAGTCTGAGTGGGCTTGGCTGGGGATCCTTCCCTGTGAGAACTCAGTCCTGGATGACACTTTGTTTGCAGTCTTGCCGAGGAATCAGAAAAACCAAGCATTGACTCCTGACACACAGAACAATGAGACAATCAATACCCATACTGTTTTAAGCTGCTAAGTTTGTGGTAGCTTTTTACACAGCATAGAAAACCACTGTATTCACATGGCTGATGCCTACTCATCTCTATTCAACAAGATGGATTGACACAGTGACTTCAGTGATAGGTTGGAATATGACAAAGATTGTGATAATGGCACAGGATAGGACAAAGTTCAGATCTGTTGTCCTTAAGGTTGCTATGATTCATAGTCAACTCAACAGCACCTAGCAAGAACACCTGTATTGTTCCCATTCCATGCAGATTTATTTTCTCACTCAGCCTTCCCCACCTTCTCTCCTAAATCTCAATCTTCCTGTTACAGGATCTCATGCCATTGTGCGCATTTCTCTACACAGCCTGTGAAGTTATCATTGGATTGTTGAATTAATACCATTCACCCATTTGTAAGTTCTGTGAGAATAGGACCTTGCCTGGCACATTTCTCTGCTTTCCCCTCAAGTATGGCAGAGAATTGGCATGTGGTATCTAGTGAATATCTGTTGAAGTAAAAAAAGATTATTTGTACTTTTCAGAGAGATGAGCAGTAGAAACACAGATCAGGCCTGGATAGTTCAGTGAGTAACTTGGGGAAAACGTGAATGACGTAACAGACATGTCTGTACAATTGAACCTGAAAATGTACTTTGGGGCATCCTAGATGGAAAAGTGTATATCCTCATAGCTATCACACACTGACCCTCCCCTAAGCCCTGGCATGGGGATGTTTCCATTGGAAGCTCAGCACTCATTCCTCCTTCCAGAAGAACATCTTGTATTTTGATCACCAGTTAACTCACTTCCGAGTTTCCACCTTAATAGTCAGAGAATGGAAAAATTGGCTGGAGGAAGAAGGGATGTGCGGCAAGGAGGAGTGAGCTCCAGCTTGACAGTTTCAACAAAGAACATGAAATGTCAAATAGAGTCCAAATAACAGAAAGGTGAATATATGAGGTTTTTCAGAAGACTTTGTTTTCTGGTGTGACGATAAGATTGATGGTCTTCATAATTCTTAACCCTGTGTTCTCCTGTATTGTCAACTGAGCTTTGTTGCTGTCCGTTTGCCAGCAACCAAAAGCGACACCCTGATGTGGGTAAGCACAACAGATATACACCACTCTGGGAGAGGATCAGATAGTCAATTCAGCTCAATTTTATTGGGGCCTGCAGCATACTTATATATGAACAAGTAAACAGGAAGACAAGATAGGGTGGGCTTACAGACATGGGACATGTGGATTGGTTAGAAGAACCTCAGCCTCGTGTGGACCACTCCCAGCTCAACAGATGCAGCAGCCGTCTTCCCAAGTGGCGAGCTTTCTCAAGCTGGTACAGCCAAACACAGGGGAGCTTTCTCTACCCTATATTAAAGGCCATCGGGAAGCTTGCACTTATCCGGAGCTTAGGCAATCTGTTCAGGCCAGAGGTCCTCCCTTCCTCCCCAACATTCCCCAGCAGAGCTTTTTCAGTCCCTCTGTTTTTTTAGTACTGGTGATTACAGATAATACGCATAACTAAATGGCACCCCAAAACAACAACAAATCCCTGAAGCATTATGTGGCCAGGAAGGATCAATCTTTGGAGAAGGATATCATGCTTGGAAGGGTGGAGGGACAGCACAAAAGAGGAAGATGCCAGATGAGATGGATTGACAGAGTAACGGGGGCTGTGTAGGTAAGTGTATCAGAGTCAGTGAGACTGGCTCAGGATAGGGTAGGGTTCAGAACTATTAAGCATAGGGTTACTATGAGTTGCAGATGACTCCTTGGCACATAACAATAACAACCTTGAGTCCTGAGGCCTTTCCTGGATGTTACCATGATTTCCTTTTAAACTTCTAGCCAAGTTTATTCAAAATTTTGTCCACACTTAGTGATCTCTTTCTCACTTCAATTGATTTACTCCTCAATCCCTTCATTTTGGGCTCTCCCCTGCACTGGCACAGAAATTACTTTGATGTTAAATTGAGTGGACACTTTTGGGTCATCATTTGACAGTTGTTGTTCTTGACCTTTTTTATTCCATTGAGTTTCTGGACATTGGTCTTTTCTGCTTCTCTTCATTTCTTTCTAGCATCTTCCTCTTGGTTCCATCCACTACCTGCTATTTTTTCTGCCACTCACATCAATGTTGATGCTCTCAAGTCTTGCCCTTAGTCCTCCTCCCATCATTACTCTTCTGTTAGGAGAGTTCACTCATTCCTGCTGCTTTCAAGTCTAGCAATGGCTCCCAAATCCATAGCTTAAGCCTAGATATCTCACTAAACACCAGATGCATACAGCTAACTGCCCATAGGTATACCTCGAGCATATTTAACTCTATGTCTCTTGACTAGAGCCTGCCTTCTCTCTTGTAGTCTATAAGCCTCCTCTCCTCCTCCTTGTCCTCTCTGGGCACTTAACACCATCATCCTCCTGGTCACTGGAGTCAAAACTCAGGGCCAATTTCTATTCCTCTTCTTCTATGCTCTTCACAGCTAATCAGTCATAATGACCTGGTTTTGTTACCTCTTAAATATACACTTACATCCATTTGATTTTGTCTTTTCTGCCTCTTATTTATACTTCTTGTTGTTGTTATGTGCCATCAAGTTGCCTGTGACTTATAGTGACCCTTTGTACAACAGACCTAAACCCTGCTCTATCCTGTGCCAATCTCACTGTCTCTGACACACCTACCCCAATTACCCCAGTCATTGAATCAATCCACCTCATAGAGGGTCCTCTCCTCCTGCGCTGTCCCTCTACCCTCCCAAGCATGATATCCCTCTCCAAGGATTGGTCCATCCTTGCAACATGTCCAAAGTATGTCAGATGAAGCTTCAGAATTCTTGCCTCCAAGGAGCAGCCTGGTTTCATCCTCTCTAGGATGAAACTATTCATTTTCTTAGCAGTCCATGGTATATTCAATACTCTTCTCCAACACCACAGCTCAAAGGCATCAATTCTCCTTCTATCACCCCTAGTCATTGTCCAGTTCTCTGATGTATCACAAGTGATTGCAAAGACCATTGCTTGTATCAGGTGCACCTTAGTCTCCAGAATGACACCATTGCTCTTCAGTACTTTGGAGAGGTCTGTAACAGCAGACTTTCCTATCACAATACATCTTTTAATTTCCTAGCTGCTGGTGCCAAGAGTGTTGACTGTGGAGCCAGGCAAACTAAAGCTATTAACAATCTCAATGTCTTCACCATCCATCCTGATGCTGCCAATTGGTCCAGTGGTGAGAATCTTCGTTTTCTTGATATTGAGCCTCAATCCATATTGAAGGCTGCAGTCCTTGACCTTCTACAGCAAGTGTATCAGGTCCTCCTCAGTTTCAGGAAGCAGGGTTGTGTCATCTGCATAACATAGATTGTTGATGCCAATCCTGATGCCACACTTCTCCTCATATAGCCTAGCTTCCCAGATAATCTGCTCTGCATACAGGTTGAAAAGGTATGGAGATAGGACACATCCCTGGCATACACCCTTCCCAATTTTGAACCATGCAGTGTTTCCTTGCTCTGTTCTGA